GAGAACAAACTAGATCCCAGCGGAAGAAGAAATCTGGAAGTGGATGGAACACATATTGAAGAAAGCACCCAACTACGTCACAGGGCAAGCCCTCACTTGGAATCCTCAAGGTCAAAGGAAAAAAGGAAGACTAAAGAACACATTGCGTCGAGAAATGGAGGTAGACATGAAAAGAATTGGATAGAACTAGAAAGGAAGGCCCGGGACAGAGTGGGTTGTAGAATGCTGGTCGGCAGCCTATTCTCCATTCGGAGTAACAGGCGTAAGCAAGTGATGTTATAGACCAGCCGAACAGAACGTCTGATTTAGCCCGGAGTCCATGCACATCTGTGTTTCCTCGTATTTGTCGCCACACTTTGATGTCATCAGTACAAAGTAGAGTTCGAAGCTCAGTGATTATCTAAATTTACTAATGTGTGGTAGAAAAGGTAAGGGATCGAGAATAGAGCCTTGAGGTACTTCACTAAGTACTGCCTTCCATGATGATCACTTGAAATTCATTTAAGTGGAGTCCTTTATGCAGATGCTTGTCAAATGACTTGTTAGATTCCACCAATCGTCCATTATGTGCAGACCTCATACGTCTTGCTATATGCCTTACTCCTAGGTTTGTTGTGTAAGATAATGGTTTCCTAAATCCATGTTCTTCATTAATTAACATGTTGATTTAAAAGTAAGTCATGGAATCTTTTTGGATTTTTCTTTACAGTATTTTAACTATGACACTGACGAGAGAAATAGAATTGTAGTTGGGTGAAAGTTGTTTTGAACCTGTCATGTCAATTGAAATGGTAATTACATTATTCCAGCTTGTAGGCAATTCAGCTTAGGCATGTGGTACTTTCAATATCGTATTCTCCGAGGGAGTAATGAATCGAGAATTTTCTCCCAGGGTTCTAGTAAGCAGTTCCTCTGGTCCCGCTGATTTTTTTATGTTCAAAGTACTGAGATTATTTGGTACGTTGTCTCGATGAAAATCCGTTGTCGGTATTCAATCCAATGGCTTTGGTTTTTGGCTCAAACTTTCGTCAAGGAAAGCTCATGAATGAAGATTCTCTCGAAGTAGTCAGACATGGAATTTGCTTTGTTCAGCTCTCTCTATAATTTCAGATGAACTTCTTCACCAAACTGTGAATTCAATGGTCCGTTCTTGTTTTGTAATTGATATGGGCTAACAGTCGCCACTGCTGAATGATGAAAGAATGTGTAAGTTGTATTCGCATTTTCGCTGACCTGTACGAATAGTATGTTAACTGTGTATTTTTGGTCTAGTTCGATATTGGTACATTTTTCTTCGGTACTATAATAATAACTTTAATGCTAAAATTGTGGATTTGTCATGATGTGACCATCTAATCTGTAAGGTCTTACGTAAGATTGTTGTGTTATTTGTCCTAATCACATAATCCTGAAAGCTGAACATGAGATGACTGGGAAAATAGATTTTTAACATTTAACACAAGGATCAGTAAAAGAATAATGAACGCAGGAACGTTTACTCAACCGGATGGCATGGCTCAGTCTTGCAGGAGTGGTCCTTCTTTTGTAACTTATCACATTCATGCACATTGAATATATGGTCTTATCGCCGGCCTCAATGTGTTGCTTAGAAACGGCAAACATATTACTGGTGGTTACGAAACAAGTCATAATAGACAGTAATATGACTTCCACGTAAGATCTTGTAGATAAGTAGTTACATCATGACAAATCTATACTTTTAGGAATATTAGTACTAGTACCGAAGTAGATCACAATTCTACAAATTCACCTCGTAATTTACATTGACTCGTCCTATCGTTACAGTCAGCAAAATGATGTTTAGTGCTGTTGAGGAACACGTTTTGGCCGGGGACAAAATGGTGGATTCAATGTGACCAAGGATTGTTTGTATGAAATGATCACGCTTGAAAGACTGAGACATGCCATATTTGACGAGTTTTCCTGCGTTTACTATTTTTAATCTTCTCTAAGCGTTACGTATTAGATGTATATCTTCCAGGTAATTATGTGTTAAGTTCTAAAGATCATATGGTTGCATACCAACATCACTTTGATGCTCCTGTTCAACTGAGACGTATTTGCTGTACCAAAGTTGGTGAAGAAGCTCCAACATATATTCCTTAGTCTTGATGAACACCGAATATCCAGGTGCTTTTCTTTTTTGATGTCGCTTTGGAAATAAATTGTTGAATTACGCGGTTGTATAACTGCCGGAAGTGAGTTCTTGTCTCTACTACATGTGCGCTGGAGTTAATTTTCAAGTCGAAATTGTCAAGTTGGCCGCTATCTTGTCTACCCTCTGTACTTTATGACGGGCTAACAAATCTGCTTGATAATGATCAACTTGAATACGAAATTTGTATGTTTACTTCTCATTAACTGTGAAAGGTATTTACTATTATTATCTATGACTTTATTCAATGTTGCATTTTTTGTACAACAAAGAATTTTCAGCACGAGGTATTTCATCAAGTTTCTCTTACAAAAACAAAGAAAAACAGAGGAAGGTGAAAAAATCTGAATACCAAGATAAGTGTCCTTCGGCACTGTATTTTTCGAAGTTTTCATTGACAAAAGCATTATGAGTTCCCAACATGGTGTTTGGGTGATGTTCATGTCTCAGGCTATAGTTAGACGCTTAACATTTAGACACTTGTGTACAGAACAAGCTGTGAAACGCATATGGAGAAATTTGAATACTTCACTTCTATCTAAAGTTTGTGCTGATGATGTCGTTCAGAAGAACGATAAAAGCTCCACAACCAAACCATCCAGCTCAGAGAACGAAACTCCATCGAAATCATTCACTTGAGCTACAAATCCTATCCACCATCTCGATACATGCTGTTTTAATTCCTTGGAAGAAACTGTTTGGCTTCTGAAATAATTCTTTTTTTAAATCTGGAAAACTTATACCATCAATTGCCTGATCGCGAAGTTGTTTCAAATTGTTCGCCAAGATTGCACCTCTCGGCCTGTTTCTGTAGTTGAAGCCTAAATTTCTGATAATTTTGTCGTGTCATTTTACGAAACTTCGATCTCTCCCAGCATCCAAAGCTAGCACGCAGCACATGACTAAGTAGTAACTCATTGAGAGATTCCTATGACATTGAAAATGGTTCTTTAGGAGAGGCAAGATTCTTTAACAGATCAAAAGCTTCTATGCTGATTGTCAGGGAGTAAGCTGCGTATTTATCATCTTTATGTCATTTCTAGTCATGAGCCAGGTTTTGAACCACTCAGTGTGGTCTTTGAAGTCGTTCCTGCATGAATAATTGTCCAGATGTTCAGGATTTGGCTCCATCACAACTCCAATACAACAGTTAGAATTAGTCGATATTAGGAGTTTTGAGATTTAGTACGATCTTCAACGAAGAGAGTATAACTATAGCATTCCATTGAGCATCTGCCGATTCAAGATGCCACAAGTATTTGTATTTCGACAACACTTTAACCAGTAAACCCTTCTATAATTGAATCGTTCTCACCCAGTGAAACCAGAAATCAGGAGTGAGGAGGTCCGAAGGTATATTTGATAGGTTATCAAAATATCGGGGAGTGGTTGATCTAAACTGGCTCGCGGTTGCAGAAGTTGAGCACGGCGTTCCTACTCGTCATCTGATGGAAATGTGCGTTCATTAAAACTAATGTAGTCAGCATCAAATATCGAAAACTTACAGAGCTATTGATTTTAAGGATTTATTTACGAATAGCAGTAATCATTAGTTCGTACAAATGTTATATGTACGTAGTCTAAAAAAGCAGCTCAAATGCCCTCATCTCACGCGTCGACATTCATTGAACGCCTTCTGTAGGAAGTTTGTTCAGCATCAGCCGTCCTAACTGTTTACTTGAACTAACCGAATCATCTGAGCAACTGGAAGCTTGGCCGATAGCATTTAATATTTTCCTGCCATTTCTTATAAACGGCCTCTACATTTGCGTTCTATTTTACCCACTGTTATTGAGGTAGTTTTGGGATTCAGTACGATCTTCAACAAAGAGATCATAACAGCAACTTTCTAATGGACAACTGCTGATTGAAGATGCCACAAGTATTCGTAGTTTGAAAACACTTTAACCACTGACCCGTTCTATAATGCAATGTTTGCATAAAAATATGAAAATGCACTTTAGATAATCTTAAACTATTTTTCTTGGGTGTTTATATGTCAACAGACAAATTAACTATACGAATATTATGAATTCATTCAAGCCAACACATGATCAACTAAACAATGGTCTACGCGACTATTTATTGTCCTCAAACGTCTTTTCACCCCGATATAATGGTTTCACGAAGGGTCATTCTTGTATAACCAACCTGCTTACTAAGTGTACAGATGTACAACCATCCCTGATCGCAAGGGAAAAGTTGACGTCATTTACCTTGACTTCTCAAAAGCTTTTGATAGGCTCGATCATATATATTTTATCAATAAGCTCAGACGGTTAGATATCAAATCACCTTTAATTGATCGGCTGATTTCATATCTAAAAAATCTAAATTTTAGGGTCATGGTTAACTTCACTTTCTCTCAGGTTATGGAATGTCCTAATAAACTCTCCCAGGGTTCATTACTAGGACCTCTTCTTTTCTTGATTTATAAAAACGATCTTCCACAACAGGTATCGTTAGACTTATTGCTCTTTGCTGATGATGTGAAACTTTGGAGAGAGATATGCAAACAAGGGAACATACTGGCACTTCAGGAGGATGTGATTCGACTTCAAAGTTGGGCAGATGACAATGGACTTACCTTTAACACTTCAGAATGTAAAGTAGTCCATCTGAGACGTGCTGCCGTTTACAGCTAAAACTTAGACAACTCTCCTCTAGAAGTATCCGAGGTTGGAAAAGATTAATGAGTTTCATTCGTCCTCATTTACAGTGCTGAAACATAGTATTTCATCCCTCACTCCAAAAGGATAAGGATACTCTGGAGCGTATCCAACAGCTTCTACCGCGTTCACAACCATTTGAATCATTTGAAAAAAGAGCCTCAAGGTTGTGCAGGCAGATTTAACTTCGACCTCGAGCTATCCTTTTTCTTCCTTGTCGATGGAGTACCTGCAGAAATATATGGAAGGTTTGTGTTCATTTTTGACTACTTCTCCGTATATCATAGATTTCCTAATTATGTGGCTCGGTCTCTCAGTATCAACTAAGACTAATTACTCATTACTTGACGTCAAGTAATGTTGATGAACATCTTAAGTCACCGGCTCTAACGACAGCATGTTAAGCACTCCGGCACCCCCATAAATGCTTACTTCAATCCAGTTCCAACGCGAACGTCAGGGGCAATAACCAAAATTTAGTATCATAACATAACAAACAGACTATGAGTAGTCCATCTCTCATACGAGTAGTCAAGTCCTGGGGTTCGTGACCAGATATGGTGGTACAAGCGTCTTTCCAAATGTCCTTAAAGAATGAGCTGGCATAATCTTAAGGACTTGGGGTAGTATTTCACTATAATTTACCAGTATTTATCTTTTGCTTGTTAGATATACCCGGGCAGTATCACAGCCCTCACACATATCCAATGAGATTTTTGTGGCGCATATGTATTTGGTATCTCCTTGTACCAATATCTATGTGTTTAAATAAATAAATAACCCTACTCGAAGGCACCGGCCACCCCCTCCTGGTTGATATGAAGACACGTTAGAAAAAAGCTTTTATTTTGTCCAAAACTATCTAAACAGCGTAAAAGTAGCGTCGCCTGACAAATTATTCATACTTTGATGTTCCCTGATTAGTTAAAACGATTAAATCTACAGGTCGTTTGGTAGTATGCCTTGGGTTTAGCGTTCTCGGTCATAACTATAAAACAGCATGTATATAAATATTTTTCGGAGAGTATCTCAGGTCAATACTTCGTGTTACTCGTATTTCATGCTTCTCGGCTAGGCCACCTAGTGCTCAGACGATTGTTAGGGTTCAATCATTTTAGTCACTTATGAGTTATTGACCGAAATTTTCATATATTATGGTCAGGCTAACAAGAAAGGGGACAGAAAGACGTACATTTATATGTCTTCTGATATATAACAAAGCTAATTACTTTCTAATCAAATAATTCCAGTGTCCACATAGAACTTGAGTTTCGTTGTTATTAATCTGTATCGAGAGTGGTGAAGTATAATTTATCTTGATCCAGGACCTTTATATAGCTCATAGTGTCATGAATTCTCTCTGTAAAGCATCAATAGAAGGATTGCAATATGAGTGAAAGCTTAGTGCAGGTGGTTCATATGTATTATCGCCATTGTTTTTAACTTGCATAAAGACCTACTTAACTTCTGACTCTGTGCAACAAGCTTTTAGAAGATTTTGAAATCAGTTCCCACTTTAGATCAATTTTTAGAAAAGAAAGTTCCTAGTCCAAGAAATTGTTGAGAATTCATAAATTTTACAGCCCCAGTAAGTGCCTAGTCTGTTGAACGTTTTGGAAGGTCTATAATTGTGACATATACAAGTTTTTTTGTTGTCGATAGACTTTTCATAGCTTTATCTCACAAAGGATTTAGTTGCGCACAACCACTTAAAAACCTGGAATACTCTGTATAATATGAGATGTTCTGAAGTGGGCCAAAACGAATGTAATAGTCGGTCTGTAAACCGACATTTACCATCCAATTCCTGCCACCTTTATGTGCGTAACTATAATTACCTGTCGGTCCGGAAACGAAGGTTGGTCAGTCATCTATAACATAGGACCAGGTACATATATTCATCAGTCCAAGTTGCCACACCTCATTGGAACAACAAGATGAACACCAAATTCATAAAAGTAGTCACTTCAGTGGTAGTGATGTATAAAAGAAAGATTGTGTATAATGATATAGTACAGGAAGAAAGAATTGGTTCGTATAAAGAAAGGTATAAAGTAAGTTTAATATCTCACAGTTTAAGGGAAGATAGAGAGTGTATACACCTACGCCATTGTGATCGACTGAGAGCCATGTAACCTAGTCTCCAACAATGGGATACGATAGTCACGCAAACCCCAACCAAGTAGTCTGCATGTACCAACATGGCTCAGACTGAAAGTTAGTAACTTTATAGACTGATACCACGTTTTGGTTCGTCCGACCCTAACTTAATTCAAACCATCAACACTAATCAGCACTGTGTTGTGGTAATCGGTGTTCAGGCATACGCAACACGTGGACCAACTATCTCAGTCGATGAAGATTTACAACCTTATCAACTGACTTAACATCATTCCCTAATACCCTGAGTCTAACCTCATCATGACTAACCCGTTGGTCCCGGCGGATGCGAGCAATATTTCTAGGACATCTGTGATCAAATACTAGTAACTTACGAATATCTTTTACTCTTAATGACCACGTTTCGCAGATATGAAGTAGAACAGAACGAACTATTGCGCAGTACACTCGTCTCTTAATTGATAGACGGATATTTCGCCTTTGCCATAGGTGACGTAATTTGGCAAAAGCCAGACGAGGATTTTGAATCCGTGCAGAGATTTCATCAGACACCAACGCATTAGGACTGATCAGACTTCCAAGATAAGTGAGGTTGTCAACGTGTTCGACTACTTCACTCCCTGTCCTTAGTTCAGGCGTTGACGCAGGCCAGTCGTGAAGCGACACCCTGCATTTAGAAGGTGAGAAACGCATCCCAAACATTCTGGTATTGTTGCTCAGTGCTATCGAGAGGCTGCATTTTATCAGTGTTTTCACCAAATACAACTATATCATCTGTGTATTTTAAGTCAATAAGTGGACCTCCTGGTAGGAGATCAGTGCTCGAAAATCCAGACGACGTGAACATTATTTCCAGCGGTAGGTATATAATAAAATTAAACAGAAATGGAGGTAGTAAATAGTAGGATTTTCCCATTAAACTTTCGCATTTCGCTTTAAATTCCAGTTACTTGCTAATACGCAACGTAGAACCTGTCATATGTACATTGGTTCAAGTTGCTGGCTATTCAGGTTGTTCTTATTATCATCCAGCTAATAACTGTTAATCAATGTAATAAGTCAGTAGGTTCAGTTTCGTTAGTTGTCACTCGGTCACATCATATTCTGAATTACTAATAGACCACCATTCTTTCATTTCATCATTTAAGTTATGCTCTTAGTCATCAAAAATTTAATAATTTTTAGTTTGTTCAAGCTCTTATTGATTTTCTGATTAGATTCAACGGTAAACAATACTTTTGAGATATGTATTCGAATTTAATGTTTTTTGTTTCTCAATAGTTTTTCCCTTTACAAATGTTTATTTAGATTTAGAACACTTACCACCTCATTTGCGACAAGAATTTGAAATTATGCGTGATCTTGATCAGAAAGTCCAGGATATCATTCGTCAAACACAACAACGCACAACCTACCTATTTGAACATGCATATGAAATGTCTAAAGAAGAACGCAAGGCACAAATAGAGCAAATACAAAGTTTATTTAAAAAAGGCAAAGAAATTAGTAACGATAAGGTGTCCAGAGCTGAAAGTGCTTATGAACTAGTTGACAAACAAATACGTCGACTAGATGCAGATATGTTTGAATTCAAAAAGGCATTAGGTACGTTTGAAGTTTTGATCGTATTATGATTTTAGCTGAAAAAGAGTCCAAGAAAGTGAAAAAGTCTCGAACAAAACAAGAACAAGAGCCGGTTATTTCTCCTAAGTGAGTTTTTACTCAGTACTTGATCCTTTTTGTTGTGTCATTCATGTTTATTTAAAGCCAAAATTTTAATGTTTGTCTATTGAGACCTATGGAATCCACTTAATCATATATACTTAATGATATAAGATTTTACAATTTTATATTGTATCTTAAACTGGGATAAACCGTTCAAACCTCTGAAGACTGTAAATGAATGCAGACTAATATGCTAAGCTGTCAACTAGATTTATTTTAGAGTTTATGATGCTACTATCGTAGCTAAATAAAACAATTGAAATGAAACTCTACTCATTAGTGAATCAACGTTTTGAGTTACTTACTACCAAATGGGCGTTCTTAGATTTATATCAAGTGATCATTTTGTAAGTTTTTGCTAAGATTTTACTTTGGACTTGACGAGAAGTTCTTTGGTGATATTTGTAAACGTCCTTGAAAATACCCCTTCAGAAAGATGTCTGTTCAATTTACTGTACTTTTTATTTATAACATATCGTAGATCGCATCTTTAAGCTTATACATTCCATTTAAGTTTGGATAATTGAGTAATATTGTGTTTTCACGTCCTAATGATTTGATCTAAAATGGGTACTAAATTAACTGTATTTATTTTCATCATTATTATTCTTTATGCACGCAAGTGTTGAATCGAATGCTGTTTGGATCATTAGACCCTCAATTGAAAGATTTTGTTAGGGGACCACTCCCTGAGCCTTTGACCTAAGGGTTCGATCCACGAAGTAGTGGGGCAACGTTAAATACAGTGCTATGGTAGGTGACTAAAATGACTTCGTATCCTATTTCAAAATGCCAAAGCCTGTATACATCATTGGTTTATAATCAGGGTTCCTACCCCCCTAAGTGGGCCCTGAATATCCACTAGCCCAGTTTGTACTTGGGACATCCACTTTTCATCCTCTTATTTTCGTTAAAACTGCTACTCTCAGGTGATAATCAGGACTTCCATAAGTTGGTCTAAAGATTTCATAGAGGCATTTCAAGGACGAGAGCATTCTCCATACCCTTGATCGTCTCAGGACATTCAGAAGAATTATCACCATTAATAATAATAGCCCTTGCGTTATCTAATTTTTCGCCATACTATTTTTACGTTCCGTAGCCTGGCAGTGGGTTTATGCACTTGGCCATGTGAGAGTATTTCGAGAGGTAGAGCTGACTCTCTCCTTCGACCGTACCAGGGCATTTGGGAGCACCAATGAAAATGTGTTCGACTTTTTGTAACTTTCTCTGAGTTATCATGTTGTTTCGTTTCTTCCTATTTGTTTTTAATATAGAATCCCAGCTACTGCTGCATTGGCATTGGCATTGACGAATAATCCTAGAGAAGTATTAGACATGCCAGTTGATCCAAATGAACCTACCTATTGTATATGTCAACAAGTATCCTATGGCGAAATGGTTGCGTGTGATAATCGTGATTGTGCCATTGAATGGTTCCATTTCGAGTGTGTTGGTTTAGTGAATAAACCACGTGGACAATGGTATTGTCCACAGTGTATAGCTCAAGGATTTCCTTTGAAAAAAGATGACTAGTAATGCCATTACAGACAACTTTAATTGTCTGACTCCTTTGTTCTTGTATTTTACGATGCTTGTTGTATCACATCAACAATATCTTCTTCTTTTATTTCTTTTCGCATTATGTAATTTGCGCGGTGTAAATAGATGAATATTCTAGTGTGTCATTTTTCTCCTGTATATAGATATACTTGTTAATACTTCATCATTTGCATACTTCCATGTGAATGTTTAGTTGTTCAGCATGTCAACACCCACTAGAAAGACTAAAAAGCGACACTCTAGTGTACATGCTCCTTTCAAATCTCCATTAAAAAGGATCAATGAAAGTAACAGTTCCACCAATCCTACTATTAGCAATCAAAACAATGAAGTTAATGAACAACTAGATGTTATTGTAAGTTATTTTCTGTTGTAGTCTTTTGTTTTGTGCAATCTAATCGTTTTTCTACTACTTAATAATAGTAAACTGTTTGAATTTGTAATAAATATATTTTTGTTATATCCCACTAAGTAGTGACTTGATGTAGTCCACTTCTTCAGAGTAAATGGCTTTCACGAAACGTCAGAGGTACAATTTGTATACCTATTAGGGTATAACAAAAATAGATTTTTACATCCGACCATTTCCAACTCCACCCTTCTTTGTGGGAACGCAATATCACTGTCGTGCTGGTCGTTTGAATGAAAAACCTTACTGCCGTCACACCTCTGTGCAGTCAAATGTACAACTTCGCCCTCGAATCTTGAGTTTGTTGCTTTTAGTTTTACTGCGGTTCAACCGACCTGTCTGGCATAGTAGGACCTTAAGGAACGATTGTTCCGGCCAGTATAGCCCGATTGGTTCATCATGATGGGCAAGCCCGACCACCACGTCAAGGTGGCAGCAGCAGTCAGGTTATCCAGTGATACTTAACATTGATAATTGTTGTTGCTACCTTGACGTGGTGGTCGGGCTTGCCTATCGTGATGAACCAATCGAGCTATACTGACCCCACCTCGCCAAGTCGAAGAGCCGATGAGATACACCCTCGTATCTGGCGACCCGATGGCTAGTTCTCGTGGACTGGTAGGTGTAGACATAGCACTATGTACGAGGGCAGAATAAGCACTATTAGAGTGGATCCCCTTTAACAGTCGTCTATGCGCTGTTCGGCACACGTCGTTGCCTTTACATCGTTTCTGCCTACGCTCCCACTGACTGCAGTCCGGATGAAGTGAGAAATGATTTTTACAGAAAGCTTTCTGAACTTTTTCAGAAGGCTAAACGTTCAGACATAGTAGTCGTAGGAGGTGACTTTAAAGCCCAGATAGGTAGCTTAAACAAAACAGAAAGACATTTAGGTGGGTATTTTGGTATTCCAGCTCAGCGAACAGATAATGGGGATTGTCTGCTGCAACTGTGTTCAGACAATCGTTTTTTTTAGCAGACACTAGTTTTAAGAATAAGGAGAGACATCATCTAACATGGTGACCGCCTGCACCAAACCAACGATGGACTCAAATAGACCATATTGCCATCATTCATCGTTGGAGAGGGTCAATAGAAGATTGTCGCTCATTATGGAGTACCTGCTTCGACTCCGACCATGCCCTAATACGAGCACGCATCTGCTTGCGCCTCACTGGACGCAAAAAAGACACACTAAAATGACCCATTAGAATTGAATTGAGTAATGAGAAAACCAAAAGTAGGTTCCAGGAACAGCTGAGGTCACACTTCGGTAGTTCTGAAAACGAGACTGACCCAGATGTTGATTGGAAAGACATACAAGCGGCTGTGGAAACGGCAGTGACATGTCATTAAAAAGTGTACATCAGATGTACATAAACATTGTGAGTGCACTTAACTCGAACAACACTAGTAGAGTCAGAGTTTATGGCGAACTGCCATCTGCTTTTGCAACCTCAAGTGGTGTCCGTAAAGGCTATCTACTATCTCCATTTCTGTTTAATTTTATTATATACCTACCGCTGGAAATAATGTTCACGTCGTCTGGATTTTCGAGCACTGATCTCCTACCAGGAGGTCCACTTATTGACTTAAAATACACAGATGATATAGTTGTATTTGGTGAAAACACTGATAAAATGCAGCCTCTCGATAGCACTGAGCAACAATACCAGAATGTTTGGGATGCGTTTCTCACCTTCTAAATGCAGGGTGTCGCTTCACGACTGGCCTGCGTCAACGCCTGAGCTAAGGACAGGGAGTGAAGTAGTCGAACACGTTGACAACCTCACTTATCTTGGAAGTCTGATCAGTCCTAATGCGTTGGTGTCTGATGAAATCTCTGCACGGATTCAAAATCCTCGTCTGGCTTTTGCCAAATTACGTCACCTATGGCAAAGGCGAAATATCCGTCTATCAATTAAGAGACGAGTGTACTGCGCAATAGTTCGTTCTGTTCTACTTCATATCTGCGAAACGTGGTCATTAAGAGTAAAAGATATTCGTAAGTTACTAGTATTTGATCACAGATGTCCTAGAAATATTGCTCGCATCCGCCGGGACCAACGGGTTAGTCATGATGAGGTTAGACTCAGGGTATTAGGGAATGATGTTAAGTCAGTTGATAAGGTTGTAAATCTTCATCGACTGAGATAGTTGGTCCACGTGTTGCGTATGCCTGAACACCGATTACCACAACACAGTGCTGATTAGTGTTGATGGTTTGAATTAAGTTAGGGTCGGACGAACCAAAACGTGGTATCAGTCTATAAAGTTACTAACTTTCAGTCTGAGCCATGCATATATTATTTATTTATTTTAACACATAGATATTGGTACAAGGAGGCAACAAATACATATGCGCTACACAGATCTCATTTGATATGTGTGACGGCTGTTATACTGCCCGTGTGCCCAAACCGAAGCAGCTGGTTTTCTTAGGGGAACACACCCCGAGCCTTCGACCTAAAGGTTTGATCCACAAGACAGTGGAACATCGTAAGGATGTGCAGTCCCATGGTAGCCGGTAACCAACGATTGGTTCATACGCCATTTGTTCCCTCATGATACTGGAGCCCTTGTGCACCATTGGATTGGAATCAGGGTTTTCCATCTCTTCTATGTGGACTTTCCATGTTCGCCAACTCGGTTAAAGTGCCAGATATTCGCTCTTCGTCCTCTCAGCTTCGTAAACAACACCCCCGCCACGAGAAGTCAGTGAGCAGGACTTCACTGGCAGTGATTGTCTGCACATGGCCACTTGAAAGCATTTCGAGAGGGAGAGTGGACTCTCCCCACTCTCGGCCGTACCAGGGCACTCGGGGTCCTTCTAATCTGAACCATGTTGGTAGATGCAGACTACTTGGCTGGGGCACGCGTGAGTATCGTATCAAATGGTTGTAGACTCGGAGTGACATAGCTAAGAATAGATCACAATGGTGTAGGTGTATACACACTCTGTCTTCCTTTAAATTAGGATAATAAATTCGAACTAATTTTTTCTTCCTGTACTATGTCCTTATATGCAATTTTTTTTATATATTACCACCACTAAATCAACTACTTTAGGAATCCGGTGTTCATCTTGTTGTTTATATGAGGTATGGTAACTTGGACCGATGCACATATATGCCTGGTCCAGCGTTGTAGCTGACTGACTGTCTTTCATAATTAACATTCATCCAAGGAGTCTAAGCGGTTTACATTTTGGTTTCGTATTTGCTCACTTATATCGTTTAGTGATTATACAGACGTCTACCTATTGGTGTCTTTCTCTATCTGCCGCACTTTATTTGCCGAAATTGTCAACCGAATTCCTGTATTTTTATGTACTCGATAGGACTGTATTTTTCAATGTACTGTCTTGAACTTGTGGTTGAAATGTGGTACTACTTGTACCATTCAGTGTAAGTATTATATACGATATATGTTGTTCGGTCTAATTTGTAGTGTTTCATTGAACCTGGAGTGCAGTGAAATAAGTCTTGCTGAGTATATATTTTAGATTTTTTTTTTCCAGAGAAGTCAATTAAACCTAAATGATACCGATAAGCAAACTAATTTTATTCACACTGAGCTGCAACACCTCGGGAAAGAAAATGTTCACGTTGTTAAAGTTAGCATTGATGATGTCAACGACAACGAGGACAACGATGACTTGGATGAAAACAGTAAAATAGAAAATTGTATTAACAAACTGTTATCAAAGCGACCAAATCAAAGTTATATTGATTTAGAGTTGGAATTAGCTAAATGTCGTAATCGTTTGCATGCTTACAATGAGGCCAAAGATTCATGTACAATACTATTTGGTCTGCTAGCAAACAATCGAGGCTGTCTGGTCCGAGAATTGTATTCTGAATTCGATTTGAATCTGGACGATTAGAGACTATTAGTTTTCATTGTTATTGTTTTTATTTTGTTGTGTCTTCTTGGTTAAGATGAAGCGTATATCGAATCAGAAAGCCAATTTGTATTGTTTTGTCTTGCTTGTACATAAATTGTTTCAGAGATTGAGTTTAAAATTTATGACAACTCTATTAATATGATTATTGTTATTAATAATACTGATGTTGTACACACGGTCATGACTTTTTATCTTGTATTAAAAATAGAAACTTGAGATTTTAACGTATTAGTTTGCTAAAACATGCTTATATATTTTTTAAAAGCTTATTTTCAGTGTTTATAGTTGAAATTTACAGACAAAATGAGTGTTCCTAAAATGACTGACACTGGATCACTGATGAATAGTTATAGTGATCATCAATATTCTCAATTTTTATTGTGGTAATTGGTAAACCATTTATTTCTGTCCAGTTCTGGTGATCTTAAGATCGTAGTGAATATCCAACAGATAAATCTGTTATTGTGACTTTTTTCTTATATGTGTTTGTAAAGTATGCAAATATTCAGTTTAATTGTAGGACGTAACAAATATTCATCATTAGTTAGCTTTTAACATTCATTAACGACTTCACTCGCGAGACTGGATCGAGTCATTCTAGTCGTTGTATCAATTTAGACAGCACATTGATAGCATTCATAACTACATACAATCCTGATTCGTTAAATTTTAAAATATACATGAAAATAACATCACATTTCGTAGATTAGAAATCATCATCGTAAGTTTTATTAGACTAATTCTATCAAGAATTCTCTGAGCAGCTCACTGCTAGTTGTCATCTTAATGATTACGTCTCATGATGTTCATTATTGCTTTTCATTTTCTTCTGATTCCTTTTATCCGGGTATTCTGTCGTCAACTTTAATTGCGCTAACCCCTCGTGGAGGTGCATAGGCCGCCCACCAGTATTCTCCATTCAACTGTGTCTTGGGCAATCCTTTTCAGTTGCCATTAATCTCTTTGATGTCTGCTTCCAATCCCCGGCGCAATCTGTCCTTTGGTTTTTCTCTCTTCCGTTTCTTTTCAGGATTCCAAGTTAGCGACTGCCTCGTGATGCAGTTTGTTGATTTCCGTCATGTGCGCCTTTTCCGCACATTGGATATCTTGAATAGAAAATTGTTTATAAATACTTGTATATTCTTGATGATAGTTGTAGTAGTTCCTCCAGTTCAGGTCCGTTTAGTAGGATTGTATTGATGTTCGTATTGAAGATTTTCATTTCGATATTGGTTGACAGTCTTTTTGAGTTGCATATGTCCTGTAGAAATGCTGTCCTTGTTTTGTTAATCCTCCCGTTTATGTTTGCACAAGATCCACGTTCATCGATGGTGCTACCCAGATACTTGAAACTTTCTACCTATTCCCGAGTTTCTCCATCAAGTGTGATTGGTTTGGTTTTCTCCGTGTTGAATCTGAGGATCTTGCTTTTTCCCTTATTTTGTGGCCTACCGATACAGAGGCTGCTGTTACACTATGTCATCATCTGCGCTTGTTCGTATGTATGGGATCGAAGGACCAG